ACCTATTCTAAATAATATAACTCTTACTATAAAAATAGCTTAAGATATACCTATTCTAAATAATATAACTCCTACTATAGATATAGCTTAAGATATACCTATTCTAAATAATATAACTCCTATTATAAATATAGTTTAAAATATACCTATTCTAAATAATATAACTCCTATTATAGATATAGCTTAAGATATACCTATTTTAAATAATATAGCTCTTATTATAAATATAACTTAAGATATACCTATCCTAAATAATATAACTCTTACTATAAATATAGCTAAGATTAAACCTACTATTATTAATAACTAAGTAGTTACTCTAGTTTAGCCTAATAGTAAATAGTAATTAGTTAATTAAAATTAAAACTAAAATTAAAATTAAGTTTAATTAGAATTAAAAATAGATTAAAATTAAAAATAAATTAAAAATAAATTAATATTAAGAATAGATTAATATTATACTTACTTTTTATTAAACTTATACTATAATATATTAGACTTATATTAGATTACTTAAGGATTAGAAAAAGGATTAGACTATTTTATAGATATTATAGATAATATCTTCTTTTTATATTAGGGGTTATTAGTAGGCACGCCTTGGCTTGCTAACTTAGCTAGGACCCTTATTAGCCGCTACACCTTCTAGATAGCCTCTCTTCTCTTTCTCTCCTAGATATATATATTTATTAGGTCTTTACTTTAGCTCGTGCCTCGCCGTGTGATTCCGTCGCTCTCGCTCTCTTTGATCCGCCACAACGCTCATGTCAAGACATGAGTCAGGAGCAGCAGGCCTATGCAGCAAGCCAGTCCAGTGCTTGATACGCCCATTTTTTTTTTTTTTTTTTTTTTTTTGCAATGTTTGCGACAGATGCGGAACCAACGTCATTAACACGTGCATCGAACATATATATACCAATGGTTTTAACACAATACCAAGCAGCAGTGGCGAAATCAAGATTCGACACCAGGCGATTCAAGAAACCAATGGGTAGCATGCCGACTTGGCTGCAGTAAAACCTTTTTTTTTTTTGGGAGATTTCTTTTCTGTTGAGAACAGCGCTAGAATGTGCCAATTGGTGTACCTGCAGGCTGCAGATCACAGCAGGGACCAATGTGGCGCAACTTGAGGGCTGTCACATGCTAAATATTATCAAATGAGCAAAAGGATAAGCCTCAACAACAGTTTTGTATCTAGCTACACGAGCGTTAAATCTGTCCCGTCAGTATTATACTTTTGTTTCTTGAAGAAAAAAAAAAAAAAAACAAGGATGGCGTGCTAGATGCGTGATGTAAGCGACGTTTTGTCCTGGACGAGCTATTCAAAATCATGGCAGCAAACAGGACAAAGAAAAAATTGCAGCAAGATTTTATGGTTGACCCGTGCGCGCATCATCTAATTCCTGGCTAGGATATCGAACTGGGTCGGTTAAATCGGCTTTATGCCCCTGCACGAGTCACAGCGTTATGCGGACCAACAAAGAGTTGAGAAAAGTGGTCAGCGGGTTCCTGACCAATGCGCGATAAATGCAGCGCGTTATTTCATAACGTATTTTCTTGAGCAAGTCTTCTTGTCAACGGCCGCCGGCCACATGTCAACAAGCATGTGGACGCCACCGTAGGCAGTCGCTGCATGAACGAGGAGGAGGAAGGGTGCGCCACAATGCTTATTTTTGGTTCGATAACACCACGCAGAGCCAGGCGTTTTTTCGGCACACATACATAAGTCGACGGCTTTCGGGCAATCCCGCTATTTCTGTTCAACAAGATGTGTTGACAATGAGGTGAGGCTACCTATGGTGATGGGCGCTCGGGCAAGAACGCTATCAAGAAGCCCCATTCTGTCCCGGCCTGCTGTCCATGAGCAAAGCACTTTGCTATCGCCTATCGGTGGAAAGCGGGACACTGCGGAAACCGGCGGCCCCGCCGACAACCAATTGCGCTTATTCTCTGCTAGCATCGTGGGCTTGCATAGAAGGCTTGATAACCAACAGCAGGGCAGGCAGGGCTCGAGGCGATGATGAATGCAGCGAGAACAAATTGTGGCATGAAAGACTTGCACTCTCAAACAACAAGACTCCCGAACTCATTTCGTTGTGTTTCGGGATGGAAGCAGCATGCATTAGCCGTTGGAAATTGAGGAAAATAAGGGCCAATTTACGCTTGCAGGCACATGCAACATGATGGCCAGATCTCTGGCCTATAGGCTATGACCCACAGACTTTCCAGAGCGAATGGATGGGCACGGGCAGACCACGACTCGGGGGCCAAAACTGGCGAGGGCCAGCTAAGTTAGTTACTGATTACTGGTAGTTTGCCCTATCGCACTAACTAGCTCTTGAGCGGTAAAGGACAATTTTTTTTCCCTTTGGTAATGCGAAAATACGTTGGCGCTGGCATGTGATGATGGTCCCCAGCCAGGGAACACAGGGGAGCTCCAGTTTTAAAGCTCTCTGACGGTCTGACCTAGACACACTTTGTTGAGCAACAACTCCGTTTCGGGACGAGCTAGTCTATGGGTTTTCTATCAATCACAGGCTTGTTAGGGTGACAGCGGAGCCAGGCAAGGCACCGGACCCTTTGTTGCGATGGCGAGCCCCGGCCTCACAAGCCCTTGCTCGCCGCAATCACACAATGAAACGGGACGGGGGCGGCGGGACGACCAGCTGTTCCGAAGATTTGTTGCAAAAAACTGTCCGGCGGTCGAGCGACCACATAGGCCGATGTGATGGAGATATATAACCCTGTCGACCCGCCCTCCTCCTCGAGGGCTCTTGTTGATACTTGAACCCAGACCGTTTTCTTGACTTGTAACTATACAGAGATTGTCAAGCGTACTATTACAGACACACACACACACACACACCTATTGCCTGCACATTGTTGCTGCTAGTTTTGTGTCACATTGAACAACCACCATTGTTCCACACCATACCTACCTACAGCCATGTCTCTCACTTACAAAGCCCTCGTCGTCGTCGTCGCTGCGCTCGCACAGCTCACCGGCGCCTTTGATCGCAACGACCCGCTCGACAGCTGCCCTCCCGCCGCGCGCACCATTATCGAGAACCAGAGCGCCTTCAACTCGACAGGCGAGACGTCCTTTAAGCTGCTGCCGGCGGCGAGCAGCCAGTCCGGCGACGACGACTGGCACCTCGCCCTGACATTTCGCGACGAGCGCGCGCAAAACACCCTCTACAGCTCGTCGCAAACCCGCCAGTCGCTCGACGTCATTGTCAGCGTCCCCGAGCGCTTCCCCGGCAGCGAGGCCGGCAAGCAGACCAGCCTGTGCGTCTACCGCCTCGAGCAGCAGAGCGCCGCCGCCAACGCCAACGAGCAGGCTTCCTGCACCGGCATCCTCAGCGATGCGTGCATCAGCGCATTAAACAGCGTCCCTGCTGCCAGCGATGGCTCCTGCCCGGTTCCTGATATCGCGGGCGCATGCGGCGACGCCAAGGTTGTTGGATGTAAGTGCCGATATTATCTCTATCTCTCTCTCGCGCGCAACAAAAGGAGTTTTTTTAAACCGAAAAAAATGCAGCTAGGTGCTAACAAAAAAACGCAACAGCAACCACTACGCCTGTCGTCTTCAACAGCACTCTCTGTTCTACCAATGCCACCATTCCCCAGTCCGACGCCATCCCCGACGGCTACCAAAATTACATTACTTTTGCGTCGGGCGAGCTGAACCGGACCGACGACAGCAGGACGTCCTTTACCGTCTACAACGAACACATTGTGCAGCCGGTGCCCATTCTCCTCACGGCCAAGCTTGGCGCCGGCGCCGGCAACGCCACCACCAGATCCAAGCTACTCTGCCTCGCGCCGAGCAAGGTCGTCCAGGGGAGCCGCACAGCCGTGGTGACGGCCGCGGCCGGCGGCAGCACTGCTGCGAGCCTGCTCGGCGCCGCCAAGCCGGTGTTGGTCATGAGTCTGTTGGCCAGCATCCTGGCGGTGACGCTGTAAAAAAAGAAGAAGAAAAAACGATGCAGCAAAACATGATGATTTATGCGACCAATGTCGCTTTGGCTTTTGAGCAAAGGGAGTTTTGAGGAGTTTTTCTGTTGCCATGATACGACTACGATACCATCATGCAGCACAGTTGATTTGTTTTCTTTTTCTTTTTTTTTTTCTAATTTGGTCAATACCCAATAAAGCAAGCTTGGATAGCTGCGTACGAATACATGGAATTTAATGATGCAGATAAAAAACTCGGCTACGCACAAAGTGCGTTGCATGGAATATAATGATGCTAATCAAAACTTGGAAATACTTCTGAACTCGTGTCATCATATCCGTGCAAAAGGTATAAAACATTTTGCTCTAAAACTAGCACAGCAAACAACACGATTCAAAACAAAACCTAATCATGTTCAATTGGACCACAAGTGGTTGATTGCCTCGGTTATTACAACGCTTCAGTGTAAGCCAGGAGCCTGAGGGTTAGGTACCTAGGCGCTAAAAGAAACAACTCTTTTTTGTAGGCGCCGTTTGGCCGACGGAAGAAGTTGAGCAGATCAGACGAAAAAACGCGCCGAAAAGGCAGTAAAAAAAAAAACTAATCCCGACCCCGTTTGTTTATTACCAGGCTCTCGCGATCAAGTCATTAGTTTGTTGTTTTCAAAAAAAAAAGGGGGGCCCGCAGCGGGCTTGCATTCTTGCAAATCGGATGTCCGTCTGCTTTTTAGCATGCCCGTCTCCTGCTGCCCCGAGGCCGCCGCCACCCGCAACGGTCGCTACGACCAGCCCGCGCCGACGGAGCCTTGAAGAAGAAGAAGAAGAAAAGAAACCCCCCCCCCCCCGGCTGAGAGAGAGCAAATAGAGTACTCTGTACATTGGTGCCCTGAATCCGGCTGGTCACGACATGACGTGTTCGGGACAACGAGACTCGTGCATTGCCTTTTGTTTCTTTCACCAGGTGTCCAATTTGTCCGAGACCGTAGGCAGACGAATGACGAATGCCGCAAAATGCGATCCCTCGGATCTGATCGGCAGTGCCGTAGAATGACAGTGCAAAACTGGCTGGGCGAGCGTCATGTATTAAATAGTCCTTTTTAAGGTGCAACTTAATTTTCCCTTCTATCAAAGGTGCAACTTAATTTCAAGTCGAGCGGTCATGGCCGCCGGGACCTTCCTCAGGCACTCACTACCTATCCACACATCCAAAAGTCCATGATGAGCTACCCGGCATCGTAAAGTGGCAAAAAGTGGCTCTCGAATTTTTAACATTAACAAGACAAAAGACAAAAAAAAAAACATCTTATGCGGGGTTTCTTGATGCATGTAGATAATGTGTTTTTATACTGTATTATACCTTGTTCAACAATTGCTCACACGCTGGTGCTTTGACTGCTTGTAAAAATACACATATTTGCTAACAAAAAAAAAAAAATGTGTGGGAAACAAGAAACAGGCCACGAGAAAAGAAGAAAAAGAAGGTCTTCAAGGAGTGTACATGTCGTCTTCCTCAATGCTGCTTCTCCGGCATATCTGGATTCACCACTCGTAATACCTGGCCCCATTCCGACGAGGTATCCTCCAAGCTCCCTATGCTGTTGCGGTACAGGTTCTTGTTCTGCCCAAACGCCCCCATCCGCGAGTCTTCCGACGCGCTCGTGTTGTCTCTCTTAATCGACGTAGCTCCGTTGGCGGTACCAAAGTAGTCGACTACGCCCTGCACCTCTTCGCTCTGTCTTCTGCCGCTGTCGCCGTCATCATCGCCCTTGTACCTGTTGCGGCGCCAGACCATAAAGGCAATCAATCCCACAAACACACCGGCCGCCGACCCGCCGACCGCGATGCCCACAATGGTGCCCTGCTTCAGGCCAGAGCCGCCGCCGCCGCCGTTGTCGTCGCTGTGGGGTGTAGGCGAGTCCGTAGCCGAGGGTGTGTCATTGTTGTTGTTGTTGGGGTTGTCGGCGACGGCGGCAATGGTCGACACGGCTGGTGTGCCAGTTACTGTGACTGTGCGAAACGTCGCGGGATTCTCCTCTATTATGGACGAGGCCGGCGCCTCGACTGTCTGGATGATTGTTCTGGACTCTGCATTCACCTAGTGGGGTCTGTCAGCCGAGGTGCTCGCGAGACCATGCTGAGCAGGTGCTTTAAAGTATCGACGTACCTGAGTAACTGTGACCACTTTTGGTGGGGGTGGAGATGGACTTGATGAGTCTGACGATCCAGAGCTTACTGATGGTTGTGGTTGTTGTTGCTGTGATGGTGGTGATGAGGGTGGTGATGATGAGGGCGGTGATGAGGGCGATGATGGCGATGATGATGAAGCGGGTGCGCCCTTGACCATGTTTCGGTCTAATAAAATGTAGGAATACAGCCCATCACTGCCGCATGATTCTTGAGGGTATCCCGGGCAGGGCTTGTTGCAGCTGCCGTCGTCTGTCGTCGAGCTAGGCGTCGTGTCGCTGCACCAGCACTGGTCATCCTGAACCACGGCGTAGGCCGACTGACCCCTGCACCTATCACCGCAGGCCCCCCTGCTCTGGTAGAGACTCGAATCTGAGATTGAAGTTCTTGTTAGCCCGTTTTCCCATCCCTCTCCGCGTCGCCAAAAAAAAAAAAAAAAAGAAAAGAAAAAAAGAAAACAGCGTCAAAGGGTTGTTGTTACGCACATGATTTCGAGGAAGCCGTGTTCGTCGTTGAGCACAAACTTGACAGTGCTGCCGCCTCCAGCACTACCAGGGGCAGAAACGACGCAAAGTACACGATGCGGACCATGACCATCGATGCCAGCCACAGCTAGTAGTGATGTTTGTGTGTAAATGCTTTCGCAATGTTGGCGAATCCTACGACCGAGGGCAACTTTCTGACCCCAACTGACAAAAAGGCGAAGAGAGCAAAAAGGAAAAAAAGAACAACAATTCACATATCTGACGCCTTGTTTTGAGCACAGGCTCGACATAATAAAAGGAGAAAAACCTCTCACACAACAAGATTAGCCCCGATTGCAACGAACATAGCTGAACCGGCGCAGCCCAAGTGGGCAGGCTAAACCAGATGGGTATGTTTTTAAGGTTTGTGTCGAACGATCCGACACATCCCCGCCCACGGACGTATGGGGCAGGCCTTGGAAAGAAAGGGCAACCGAGCAGGGCAACAAGAGGAAAAATCCACCGACTGCGTCCGCTCTTCATTCGATCAGCGTTGGCTGCGCCGCAAACGGCAACGCGGGCGAGCAAGTGTCTCTGATAGGCTGCCACATCACACCATGCGCATACGGCATTTAGCATCTGAGCGACGGATGGGTTGAACAATCTTGTAGTTTCCAAACGGGAACCAGTATAGTTCTCCATGGCTTCATTGTGCGATTTGTGCTTCCCGAGCTCGTCAAGACCGCCGCATATCAGCATCCATGTCGCATCTTGGCCGATGTTCTCCCGGCGCAGTTAGGTTTGGGGTATGCAGAAACAAAGAGCGGAGCCAATCTAAAAAGCTTGCCCCCATGTTATGCAGAAAAAATACTTCTTTCTACTTCAACACTTGTTACACCGGAGCGAGACATTGGACGGGAAAGCTGTCAAGCTGGAGTCTCTGGAGTCTCCCCCGTCCGACGATGGTGGAAACTCGTGTGTTGAGCATCTCCATGCGGCTTGCATGTCATTATCCGGAAGAAAAGATGATGGGAGCGGGGAAGTCCGATGAGCAAAAAAGCAAAAAAAGCAAAAACTCGAATCGCCAGCGTTTTCTGCTTGCTGCTCCTTGAGCTGCGTCAAGATGCAGTCAAAAGCCGGAAGGTTCCAAAAAAAAAAGAAAAAAAAAAAAACTCCGATTGCGTCCTCGCCTACTTCGGCGGAACAGGACACACATCTGAGCACGGATTACGGATCCATAGCATAATGTTTCGAGATTGCCCTCTGCAGTGCAGCCATGGCATGTATATAGCTTGCTTACCTTTGGAAGGTATAAACCGTAAGTAGATAACTGTATATTTCGCCATCTTTTCGAAAGCATGAGGTCATAAGTCTGGTTCGCGTAAAGTCTGCCCGAGTTTATTTTTCTTGGCTATCGTTAACAACCACATCAGTCGATCCTCAGTCAGACAACCGCGCCACCCCCGGATTAGGCGAGAGGTCGCTGGCCGGCACTAGCATGGTAGCGCAAAGCAGTCAAAACGTCGGCCCCAAAGGGAAACTCGTTTCCTGAAGATTCGTGGCCGTTTCTGATGGCAGTCTGGTCGCTGGGTGTGAGAGCCAGTTGTTGTCTCACTGGTAGCATGGCAACATGAGCGAGCCGTTTGACAGGAATGTGCACCAGGCTCCGAAGCTTCAGTCGCAGACAGAAAAAACGCTCGGTTCATTTTTTTTCTCCTTGTCTTAATCATTGTGCAAACAATATCCCCGAGTGTTTTTGTTCGCTCCGGCTGCAGCTGGTAAACGCAGATGCCGCACGGGAAAAAGGAAACGATCAACATAGCTGCATCGTTTTCATCATGCCGAACAAATACCATGGTGGCAAAAACAACGTTGTCGCCATATTTCTCGAGCGATGGCCTCGAGTCTAGCGTTCTTCTCTCGGCGCATGCGGGCCGACAGCTCGAACCGGCGGCGTGCACACGCAGTTCGGCGGACAATCAATAGTCACGCCATACGTAGCTCAGTGTAGGAAAACGTTTGTGTTATAATCTGCTATCGTAGGCCGTCTAGAGGTGGTGACGCCGGAAACAAGCACACGAGCCATGTCCCAAGAAGCAGAGGAGTCCATATGCTGCATATGGCCAAGCGTAAATCTTGGCGACCTCGCTAATCGTTTACGAGCCGAAGCCATTGCCAGACGGACGAAGGAATGCTGGGGGAGGAATTGGGAGGCAAAGGTGTTGCCATCAGCCCTTTGCCGTTTGGTCTCAATTTTCTTGGCGGGACAATAGGACAAGATTAGATGGGTATAATTGAGAAAAAGTCAAATAAACAGACAGTACTTTGATCGGTGTGGATGCCATTCATAATTCATTATCTGCTGGAATGCGGGAAATCGAGGGCTGCTAGGCGACGCCCACCAGCATGCGATGCAAAGTCCCGGTCCGCCTCCGCAATCCAGTCTTTCGAAAAGTACCAAGTACTGCCCCTGGCGGAATAACAATTATACGGACCGTTGAAACGTGGCGTGCTGACAGAGTCGCTAAAGCTGTTTCGTCGGCCACAGGTCACCACGCCACATTAAAGTGGCGTCGCCCTTAACGCGTCAAGTCGCGTCTCCCACCCACCCAAGCCTCTGGCCAATCCCCATCTCCGCAATCACCTCGTCTGCATCGTTTACCATAGATTCTTCTTGTTTTGTAAAGACCGAGTTGGATCCTCGCATTTGCCCAGCATGCTGCGACAAGACTTTCACAGCATCGACCCGAGTCGGCGTACTGTCATTGACCATCGGCGCAAGCAGTTCGCGACGGCCACGTACAAGGAGGCCGAGTACAATTACCGCCTCAATTTTTACGCGGACCCCCCGACCGCAGACATTACTCTCGAGCAGTTTGAGCAATGGGCCATCGATCGGCTACGCGGTATGTTTCCTCCCCATGTCAAATGTTTCTGCGTCATTGCCCGCAAGCGAGCGAAGCAAGGCCCCAAGACTTAACGAGGATGCAGTCCTGGCCGAACTCGAAGCATGCTCCTTTCGCAACAAGTCCCCCGCCGAGACGGCCCTACACATGAAGCCGATCCTCGAAAAGTACCTGCCGCTCGACTCCAACTCATCGGGCTCGACCAAGCTCGCCGCGCAGCGCCAAAAGGACCACTACAGCCACTTTATTCTGCGCCTGGCCTTCTCCTCGACCGAGGACCTGCGTCGGCGCTTCGCGCGCGTCGAGACGATGCTCTTTCGCATCCGCTTCAACAACGACAGCCTCGCCGACCGTTCCGCCTTTGTGGCCGGCCTCAACTTTGACTGGTGGCACCCCGTCTCGGACGAGGAGAAGCGCAAGTACGCCGCCGAGCTGGCCGCCATGGCGGGTACCTACCAGAAGAACGGCAGCGGAAGCGCAGAGGACGAGGGCTGGTTCCGCGTCGACTGGGAGCGCGTGCCGGAGCTGGTCGAGGGGCGTCGCGTGTTCCTCAAGGCCGGCAAGGCGTTTGTGCCGGTGCGCGAGCAGTCGAGCATGGTGGTGGCCGAGTTTACAACCAGGCTGGAGAAGCAGCTAGCGGTACGTTGATACGAGGTTCCTTGAAATGCTCCCTACAGGGCGAGCGAGACCTTTTTTGAAAAAGCATCACTGACCACCCACAGCTTACGGCGCGCGCTCTCCCCCGCCTCGACGAAGACGACCGCCTAACGCCCATCCTCAACCACCTGTCCAAGAACTTTACCACGCCCGACTCGGCGTACATGTCCAACACGGCCGCGCCCGACGGCGCCGTCATCTCGGCCGCGCGCATCGACCACCTCTCGCAGCACTTTCCGGCGTGCATGTCGCACCTGCACAAGTCGCTGCGGCGCGACGCGCACCTCCGGCACTACGGGCGGCTGCAGTACACGCTGTTCCTCAAGGGCATCGGGCTGAGCCTGGAGGAGGCGCTGGCGTTTTGGCGCGGCGCGTTCCACAAGGTGACGGACGACACGTTCAACAAGGAGTACCGGTACAACGTGCGCCACGCGTACGGCGACGTGGGCGGCGACTCGAACCGCCGGGGCGGCGGCTACAGCCCGCTGAGCTGCCAAAAGATTTTGCTGGAGCACCCGCCGGGGCCCAACGAGGCGCATGGCTGCCCGTATCGCCACTTTAACCTGGAGAATCTGACGGCGCTGGTGCAGTCCATGGGCGTCAACGACCGCGGCGTGCTGCAGGGCGTCAAGGAGGACAAGGACACGCAAAAGTATCACATGGCGTGCAACCGGTAAGTTTTTCTTTTTAGCCAGGGACGAGAAAGCGTGGTATTGAAACAACAGTGGGCTGACTGGACGTACTTGTTAGTGTGTTTGAGCATTTGCACAAAAAGGAGATTCAAAAGGCCAAGGACGAGGGCATCATGACGGCCAACCAGCTGGAGACGATTGTGCACCCGAATGAGTATTTCAAGCGCAGCTACCTGCTGAAGAATCTAGGTAAAGAGGGTGATGCCAAGATGGAGGACTGATGAATCTGATTAGTCTAATTTCGCTGCATGGTCTCAAGTTTTGTTTCCTTGGTCGAGTTTGAATGGAGTTTATGGCGTTGGATTGGGGACGTTTGCATTTTGGGGAGGATTCGGGACATTTTTGAACATGAGTATATGCATGATGAGCCTGGCAGTGTAGTTATTTAATTCATATTTAATTTCAAGATGTCAAGTCAGTGACGACTACTTGTACATGTCGTGCATTGCAGATGGGCCTCCGACTGGCATCCTGATATGTTCTCTCTCCCTGGTCATGTACGTTTATTGCATGCTTGCTCTCAATTACTTTGCCTTGAGCGGGATTTCAGTTACCATCTGCCACAGGGGAAAGGCTATACGAGGCGGGCCAAGACAATAGCGAGCTTGATGAGTGTATTCGGTGCTCGTCAAGCGGGAGGATTTATCCCGACGCCCAATGTGTACGAGGCTTGTCGCAATATTCTGCAAGAGAAAGCGCGGTTCGTCAACTGCACACTCCCCCTCCCCCTCGCCTCTCGGCACTTGTCATCCGCATCATCGTCGTATGCATACCGAGAGTACCCCAAAAGCCACATGCTGCACGGTGACGACATGCCCGCGGGTTGCCTGCAGCAACGACATGCACTCCTTTTTTGTTAGACCTCGATATAGCAATATTGACTATCCATCCCGATATATCTTTAATATAATTATATTGGCTTCTTTATAAGGAGCTACAAGGGTGCTTGCTGCCTTGCTATATTCGTATACGTGAGTGCTTGGCACAAAGGGGGGGGGGGGGGGGGGGTCTATCTTCGTGATGCCCAGCGGGTAGGGTGGTTGAATGACCATGGCCGCGCGTTGCAATTGCTTTTCTAGCAACTATCCGAGTACATGGGCTGCTTACTCGTAACTGTTGCGTGATTTGTCTGATTTTATTTATTTTATTTTAATTTTGAAGGGGAAAGGGGTCCAATCTGAGAAGAGGTCTTCCGAGCTCAATTGCGAGGCTTGATAGAAACTTCAATGCGTTAATTGACTCTCCCAGACAAAGAAAGGAAAGCATGTTCTTTGTGGCGAACCTGACTGACTCTTCTGTTGGTCCCAAAACCCTGGCCAAAGCAACCTTTTCCGAAACCGCAGGCGGCAGCCCAAACGGCGTGTTTCCGGGTGCGAACGCTGCCGGGTTGGTGGAGAAATCCTGCTTCACCTTGGCTTCTTGGGCCTTTTTATTTTGCTTTGCCACCTGGGGGTTTAAGTTGTTTCTAAAAAGCTAGGCAGGTAAATTAGTTACCTCGATGACCTTTTTCTCCCCCTCCCCCCCGTCCAAGCAACAGTTCTTTTGATACATGGCCAAGCGCTGGGAAGGGGGGGGGGGGGGGGGGGGGGGGGGTTGGCACGTCGCAGAGAATGTGTTGGCGCACGGAGGCAACCTGTTTCTCTAATAAACAGCTCATTCTTCATATTCTTCATGCAACTACCGTCCGATTTAGCATCATGATCCGAGTTGCAGTCAAGAAAAGAGCAAAGCGCGTTTGACAAGTAGTGGCAGCTCGGACGCTTAAAGAAAACAGAGAATAGCAAATGACTTTTATTTTACCATCCATCATTCAGTTTCGCACTAGTTGCTACAGACCGACAGGGCTACTAACTCATAGTTAAGGTGTGCGCGTCCGAGCTTTGCTGAAACAGGCTAACGAGAACAAAGCAATGATGGTTCTATTGTATCGTTGGTCTAGAAGCCCCCTCCCTCATACATAAGGTTTTGCCGTTTTTTTTTTTCTAATACAGCCGTGCAAAAAAGACCGACTCGCGAGAACTAGGTATTTATTTGGTCTCGGCCGTCTCGGCCAAGTTCATCTGAAATGTTTTGCGTTTCTGATCTGCGGGTGCATCAACATGCACCAAAACCACACACACACACCCCCCATTCCACAACATTCTTAGTAGTGTTTTTTTTATTCTTAATATTAGTTTAATCTTTCTTTCTTTTTTCCGCATTTATTATTTTACTATTTCAATCGACCCCTATGCATCGCTAGACTACGAAATATAATGTGGTCAAAGTCAGGGCCCGTATCCGCAATCGACAACATTAGAAACGTGAGCCCATCGTCGTTGACCCGCCTTGTCGGTACACTAGCGAAAGCGAACAAGTCCCTCGTTTTACTTGAAAAGACAAGAAAAATAAAAAGAAAGGTACAGCGGATAACCGTTGCTGGGCTCCTAGCCCTTCTTACACCGGATCCGAGAGGCTGTAATGAAAGTTTTCCTTTCTTGTTCCTTCAACGTCCACCACACCTTTGTGCCAGTATTGCGGTTTCATCTCACCACTCGACCAAGTTTTCTGACTTGCTCAAAAATGTCACTCTCCTCGTCAAACCCATCATTCTATGCAGAGTAACTACTGCGTACGCTGTTTACTCGGGGTCAACTTTCATTGCTCCTCGTGCCAGAAGGCGCGGCGATGAACTAAACTCCCGCTCCGCCCCCGGGCTCCGTCGTGCGCGCCGCGGGAAACTTTTCTCGTACCACCTCAGCGGGCGGGAATGACACAAGGCGTTTGAAGACTTGGTCGTGCAACGTACACGTATGAGTACCTAGTTTAGGGCCGTAATACATGGGAAGGCTACGCCGTTTCTGGCCGCAACATGCGAGGAGCTAGCAGTGAGGCTGGTGTTCTGCTAATATTTTAGCCAGCCCTGACTGAGCCAAAAATGTCTCTATACCGCGGATGGCTTACCAGCGACGCTGTTGTAGCGCATAATTTTCTGGCTGTGTTATCAACATGGCTTGCCTGCCTCTGAATACATATACCACAAACGGAGTATACATTGGCAGTGGGTAGGAATAGAGGTCAGTTGGTTATTAATTTAAACCCTGCCGCGTAACACGTTGATCGGGCCAGATTAAAACGGAAAGATCTAATATTCTATTTTTCTCTTTTTAAATACTTTTGCTTTCTTCTTTTTTTGGTCTTCTTCCCTTGATCCGCCATTCTTTGGTACTTGCTCCCCACTCATCAGTCAGCCAGCCCCCTCCCGGTTAGGTGGTTGATCCAGGGCTGAAGGACCAAAAAAAAAAAAAAAAAGAAACCCTCGACGAAAATAGCAACATTTCCACCCAGCAGCAGGGGGTGGGTGGAAAGGTTATTTGATACAACGATGGATGCTATTTTCAGTTTATTACGTCTTCCTTGAACGATGCTCGTAAAAAAACACGCTAAATCGTAAAAAGGGAACAGGAAAACGAAAGAATGAAAACAATAAGTCTTAAAGTAATTGATGAGGGTATTTCCTTAAAAAAGAAAATCTTTTTAATAAAACGGGAAATGTCTCACGGATCCCGGCAAGCGAACAGAACGTACAGCCCTCCCGACACCCGACACCCGACAAGGTTCCCCCCCTGGGAGGCTTTCTTTCCTTCTTGCGTGGGCACAGCCTCGTCGGGCCATGATGCATGTTAGCAGCACAGCCCTGGAAGAAAAAAAGCGAGTTGGGTGTGAGGTCAGTGATGCTGGTGCATATGCAAATCAGCAAAAGATTTACCCCGGGATTTCCTCCTCATCTTGACAATTTTCCGTCTTTTCTTCTTCCTTCTTTTATATTTATTTGTGCGTCGTATCACTTTAGATTCCAAAAAAGACAAAAAATCAAAAATAAAACCGTCATCTCGTAATGACGAAATAAAAATTACCGAACCCAGATTCTAGAATCCCCCCTCCCTCCCCCCACTACCTGCTTCTCTGATATAATATACCCTTTATTACTGCGCCACGACTCTGGCCATTAGTGTAATATGATACAAATGTTTCAATATCTTGATTTGATGACGGGTCGGTCCTTGACATGTGCTCCTGCTAGAAAATGAGCCCCCGTTTTTTCCTTCTTTTTCTTCTTTCTTCTTTTCCATAAAAGCTTTTTAGTTGTTGCTTCCCAAAACGCTTTCCATTATGCGTTTATACTCTAAACTGATTCGTACAGCCCTATGCGTCGCAGTTGAACAATAACCTTGAATGCAAAGAAACCGAGTAACATGACAACTTGTAGAGGGGGGGGGGGGTGGGGGGGGGGGCTTTTTACCCGCTCCGTAGCCGCACATTTCCCATTGAATGAATGACTTGTTGTCGATGCCCTCGGCAACGTTCCGTGCCGTTGTTGAAAGTCGGCAAGTCATTGTCTAGAAATACGGGTGAAAAATGCAAAAAACACAATTTTTATCTGGCCGTCCCGAAAAGCAACAAGTTATCGATGCATTTTCAGGTATCGTCTGTTCTTTTTTTACTTCTTTTCTTTTTTTTTTTTTTTGACAAGGGCATCTTTAGATGGAACAGACAGACCCTGGCCTCATCGCCTCGCCTGATCCCGAGGCTCTCGCTATTTTTGCACACTGGCGCCAATGCAAGGTAAAACCACAATGCGCATTTCGCATAACCCCAAAAAATCGTGTGCGCGATGATTTGTTCAACATCAAGCCACGTTTCGGACTTCGATTACGGGCATGTCCGACTGCACGTAATCACAATGCAGGTAATCAATCACACTGCACGTCTTGCACAGTTTTAGGCCCAAATGAATTCGAGTGTAGAAGTAAGAATAAAGCGCATGGCATTTCTGGCCTCGGCCAAGTGGTATCTCAAGTCTATCGCTAAAATGGTAAAAAAGAAAAAAATGGCTATGTATAATAAAATGAAGATGAAAATGAAGAAAGCAAATGACCAAGTACACACAAAAGAAAACAAGGGTTGATAAATATCCAGGACATGTTCAACTTGTCAGTGAATAAACAAAACATCTCAACGCCCAGCGTTTAAAAGGATAAAAAAAAAGGCATCCGAAAAAAGAACGTTTCATTTCTCGTGTATGCATGGGTGCATACCCATCGCAAGGGTATGCCTGTCATTTCTGCATCGTTTGGCACATGTCCATTGGTCGTGCGTTCTGCAGCAAGGGTGTCTAGAGTTCTGACCACGTCATACTGCATAGTGCGGTGATGCTGACGTAGGTCATTTGAGCCCGCATCATCCATCACGCAAACGGCACAGGAAGAGCAAGAAAAAAAGACGTCGAGTTTGTTTGTCGTGGTCAATCGTGTCTCGGGTGGGAAAATGTTGCATCAAATATCGGTTTCCTTTTGTTTCGGGCTCCGACCGGGCCGCCAGGGCTAGGGGAGGCATGTGGTTTGAGACAGAGTGGGCTGCATGTCGATCAATAGCCTCGGTGGCAAACAAGCCGGAAACAAATGTAAGCAAAAGACGGAGACGTTGTCGAGTAATGTTGACTTTGGGTAGCCTTGCTGATTCAGGCGCTGCACTTTAGACCAGATGTTAAGTAGTGAACAGCAGGTCGGTCGGATGGTGTCTAAATTCCACCACGGACGCATAATTGCGTATAATATGGTCGTCTTGGCGTACTGATGGCGACTGCAGCAAACTTGTCGTGTGGTAGAGTGCTTCAAGGTGCATCAAAAGCTGGTGAGACTTGCTCACACAGGGTTTCGTGTACGAGATACCCAGGCTCCGTCGAGGAGGCTTCTGGGTGGACAGGGTAGAGGCGTCGGCGCTTATTTGTAGCCGACCGTCTTGGCGCAGCGCTCGCAGTAGTAGAGGTTGTGGGAGATGCGGACCATGCCGGCGGCCGAGATGTCGTCGGTTGTGGTGGTCTCGACGGCACGGGCGCAGCGCATGCAGCGCAGGACCTGGACAGAGGCCGAAGGAGGGTCCATGGTAAAGGCGGCGGTTGTCGATGAGGTGGATGACGAGGAATCGGAGTCGCAGGCGGAAGACGAGGAAGAAGAAGCCGACGATACTGAACCGAAAGAGGCTGAGCTGTGTCCCGCAGGCATGATGAGGGAGAGGCGAGGGAGGGAAGCGTGGTTGGTGAACTCGGGCATGTGGACTATTTTGTACTTTGGTCGGGCGCGCAGTGGTAAGCGATGGTGAGAGGGTGTGGTGTTGGGTATGGCAAGGCCGAAACTTGGGAGACAATGTCCTGCGCTTGAGTGTGGCTGAGGGGAGCACGGATGTTTTCTTTTTTTATTTCTTTTTTTTTCTCCCCTTGTGCGTGTGTCTTCGTCCCAAGACGGGCGTCAAGATGAAATATAAACCTGGTTTCAAGACGAGAGATTGAGCGGGTGTGCAATGTCGGAGAAGAATTACACCCAAGAGCTAGTCGAAACGATGCGAATAGAATGCTCGGATCAGCTATAGAAGACTTGGTCCAAAATGGCTGACTCGGGGGTGTGATATAGGCAAAAAGTGGCCGGGGGGGGTTCAGGACAGAGACCGGCGCAGAAAGAGGTTCAAGATGATTGACGTTGACGAGGTGGGCGGAATTTGTGTGTGGGTGGGTGGTGGGTGTGACCAGGGCGTGTAAGAGATATATACTGCAGAAATAAAAACCAATAAAAAAAGGGTGGCGGCCAGGCAGCAAAGGTCGAACCACTTTGGGCTGGAATAGAGGTGAGCAAGGATATGGGTTGGATTTTTTTTTCTTGCAAGGGTATGAATATGATCTGACGAAAACCGAGCAAGGATTTGAAAAAATGGTGGGAAGGTGAGAGATGAAATAGACGGACAGCGTAACTGGGCAAGAGCGAGAAGAAAGCAAAGAAAGAAGAGAGGATGCAGGTAATAAGATTGCCAGGGGGTGGGGGGGGGGGGGGCGAGGTGGAGGGGTGTACTTTTTTTGGGATGGAGCCACGGAGGTGGGGGGTCTGTATGACTGTTTGTACTTTTTCCTTCTTTTTCTCTCTGTTTTTTTTTCCAGGGCACGCTCAGGGGGCGCCAATATTCTCCAGATGACTCCCTGCCTTGTAA